AAAGCCCCAGGTGGGTTGACTGACCTCCCTTCATCTTGAAACTACATCATCTGGTGAGTAAGAGAGGGATGGAAAAGGCTTACTTCTACTAACAAGTCAGTTAATCAGTCACGTGGCCTCAACCTAAATGCACATAAGGCTGAGGAGTAAAAGAGAATGTATGCTTATGGTTTTGTTGAGCATGAAAATGATATGTAAAATGATCCCTTAAAACAGGGATTAGCTACAGTGTCTCTGAAGAAACAGTAAATATTTGTGGTGTTGTGGATAATATGGCCTCTGTTACTACTCAAATCCATCATTGCAGTGTTGAGAGAACTTGTAGACTTAAGTGAATGAATGAACATAGTTGTATTCCAATAAAACTTTATTTTCATTATCAGGAGACAGGCCAGATTTGGGCCACAGGCCATAGTTTGCTGATCCCTTTCTTAGAGCATGACTAACATATAATAATTCTCATTTTCCATCACCTCAGATGCTCAGGGAACTTTGGGCAATGGCTCCTCACTACCTCAATGTTCCTTAAGCTGACTCATGATAACTATAGATAGTTCTGAATAACCAAATAAGAATGAGATCAGATGATCACTCATCACTGATGATTTTTTCCCTTTGGAATTTCCATTAACCTCTCTCCTTTCCTCTTGATATGTTATTTGAAGACTGAAGCTATGCTACAGTGAAATCACAGTACTCTGCTCAAAGAAAGAAAGAAAGGGAAATATCATGTAGATTTGCATAATCATGTAGACTAAGAAGTCTATACTGAGTCCCGAAAGCATACAGGCATCAGTGCAGTTCAGTTCAGTCGCTCAATAGTGTCCGACTCTCTGCAACCTCATGGACTGCAGCATGCCAGGCTTCCCTGTCCATCACCAACTCCAGGAGCCAATTCAAACTTATGTCCAATGTGTTGGTCTTGCCATCCAACCATCTCGTCCTCTGTCGTCCCCTTCTCCTCCTGCCATCAATCTTTCCCAGCCTCAGGGTCTTTCCCAATGAGTCGGTTCTTTGCATCAGGTGGCAAAGTATGGAGTTTAATCTTCAGCATCAGTCCTTCCAATGAATATTCAGGACTGATTTCCTTTAGGATGGACTGGTTGGATCTCCTTGCAGTCCAAGGGACTCTCAAGAGTCTTCTCCAACACCACAGTTCAAAAGCATCAATGCTTCAGCACTCAGCTTTCTTTATAGTTCAACTCTCACATCCATACATGACTACTGGAAAAACCATAGCTTTGACTAGGTGGACCTTGGTTGGTAAACTAATGTCTCTGCTTTTTAATATGCTGTCTAGGTTAGTCATAGCTTTTCTTCCAAGGAGCAAATGTCTTTTAATTTCATGGCTACTGTCACCATCTGCAGTGATTTTGGAGCCTAAGAAAAAGTCTCTCACTGTTTCCATTCTTTCCCCATCTATTTGCCATGAAGTGGTGGGACCAGACGCCATGATCTTAGTTTCCTGAATGTTGAGCTTTAAGCCAATGTTTTCACTCTCCTCTTTCACTTTCATCAAGAGGCTCTTTAGTTCTTCTTCACTTTCTGCCATAAGGGTGGTGTCATCTGCATATGTAAGGTTATTGATATTTCGCCCAGCAATCTTGATTCCAACTTGTGCTTCATCCAGGCTCATGTTTCTCATGATGTACTCCGCATGCAGATAAGTTAAATAAGCAGGGTGACAATATACAGCCTTGACGTACTCCTTTCCTTATTTGGAACCAGTCTGTTGTTCCATGTCCAGTTCTAACTGTTGCTTCTTGACCTGCATACAGATTTCTCAGGAGGCAGATCAGGTGGTCTGGTATTCCCATTTATTTAATAATTTTCCACAGTTTGTTGTGATCCACACAGTCAAAGGCTTTGGCATAGTCAATAAAACAAAAGTAGTTTTTCTGGAACTCTCTTGCTTTTTTGATGATCCAGCAGATGTTGGCAATTTGATCCCTGGTTCCTCTGCCTTTTCTAAATCCAGCTTGAACATCTGGAAGTTCATGGTTCAAGTACTGTTGAAGCCTGGCTTGGAGAATTTTGAGCATTACTTGCTAACGTGTGAGATGAGTGCAACTGTGCAGTAGTTTGAACATTCCTTGGCATTGCCTTTCTTTGGGATTGGGATGAAAACTGACCTTTTCCAGTCCTATGGCCACCACTGAGTACATCTTGTGTAATTCTTGTATAGGAGTGTATGCGTTTATATTGCCCACAAAAACCTTATCTTTTGGCATCTACCCAGTCAAGAAATCTATGAGTCACCCTAGACTCCTCCCTGAAAATCAACTTTCACATCCAATCAGATGCCAAGATCTAAAGAACTAACCTTCTTAGTATCTCTGAAAACATCTGTGATCTCCAACACTACTGCAGCTGCTTTACCTCAGGACCCTATTATGTCATGGCTCAATTCAATAATATCCTTGTAGTTTCTCTTCCTCCTGTAGTCTCTCTGCCCTTACCTGTTCCTTCTTTAAACTGATAAAATGATTTTATTGAAATGCAAACCCAACTATGAAACTCTCTTGCTTAGAAATCATCCAGTGGTTTCTTAAAATAGTCCCATGAAAAACCAAACTCCTTAATATGGCATTAGAGCCCTTCATGATTTGTCCCCTGAAACATCTAACATCTCACAGCTTGAACCCACCGCTACCGTCACATACTCTGCTCTGCAGACGTACTGAACCTTCTGCACTTTGCACTTTCCCTCTTCCCATCCTCTTTTGTTTTCCTACCACCTCTGCTTTCCCTGGTGCCTCAGCTGGTAAAGAATCTGCCTGCACTTTGGGAGACCTGGGTTTGATCCCTGGGTTAGGAAGATCCCCTGGAGAAGGGAAAGGCTACCCACTCCAGTATTCTGGCCTGGGGAATTCCATGGACTGTATAGTCCATGGGGTTGCAAAGAGTCAGATACGACTGAGCACCTTTCACTTTCACTCACTACTTCAGCAAGACTCAACCCAGCCATCAGTTACCTGCTTGTAGAGGCCTTTCCTAACCCCTTTTACATCCTGTGTGCACTTCTCATGATGCTTATCGCTGTACTATGCTGTACATAATCCTTGGATTGCTCATTTCTTCCCTCATGCACCATCCCTCTTCCCATTTCAAGTCTGTAATCACCCAGAGAAAAGGGACAATGGCTTCCTCATCTTATTTGTATAACACTGCTTACCAAGGTATCCACAATTTAGTATACACTTAGCAAATACTTGTAGAATAGATTAATGCAGAAAAATAGTTTATTTTCTTGCTTGATTGTATAACAAATTGTACTTTTGGTGGATTTAAAACATTGGGTGGTCAAGGTTCAGAAACATGTATTTCAGAAACATTTATAAGTAAAGGAGTCATACATATCAGTTGGCTTTATTCTTGTAATGTTTATGAGAGGGTACATCATATAAATTTGGTTTGCTGACTTTATACAAAGTGAAACAAAAATTAAATACAGCACAATGAGACAAAACCATGATAATGACATACCTGTGTTTCTATTGGAGCCAGGGTCATATCCATGTTTTTAATTGCAGTTATTTAGTTTAGTAGGAAGAACATTGAAAGTGAATTGAGATTTAGTAGCCCCAAGGACAGACATTTCATGAGAAATCAAGCCTGACATTGAACACTAGTCTTTCATACTTCAAAAGCAACTGAGTCCTATGTGGGTATTAATTTGAATTGCATTACTGAGTTCATGTGTCATATAATAAATGACTTATACTCATATAACAATATTTATGCCTCTTAACCATACCTGTAAAAATATTGCAAGGGTGAAAGTGTAAAGCATGTTATGATAATTTGAACACCTTAAGAAAAAAAAAAAAACCTCTGTAAAACACATTTTCAATGTCATCAGCTATTTAGACTGTAGACTAAGTCATGTCTGCTTTTCAAAAACCATGATGAGCTGGAAGATAAATGGTAGCATGAATATTTTGCAGGAAAATAATTGTGGATTCAGTGATAAAATTAGCAAGTACTTGAGGGCAGTGAAAGTGTTACTAAGCCAAAAGTTTATTGCACTTTTTGTACTTTGCAGAAAGTTAAGTACGATAAACTTTATTATAAAGAGATTGTATTTAATCTCTTATTTTTGTGAGATTGTTAATATTTCATGAACATTGATAATAAGAATAAAATATAAGAAAACTTAAATTAGGAAATGTGCACAATCCTGAGAGCCAAGAAGACTGCAGTTTTTCTGAAGGGTGGTGTTAGAACCTCTGCTAGGCAAGGAAAAAAAAGTGAATATAATTAAAATTGTGGGAAAAAAACCCAGAAAACTGCTATAGGGAACAATCCATTACTGACAAAAGGTATAGATTATATCTGCTGTTACTCCATGATTTTACCATTTATGTTTAAATTGACTTTTTCTTTTTGCTATTTGGGGATTAATTTAAATCCTTAAAAAAGAAATCAAAGCTCACTACAAATACAAGTGGATTCTTAGATCCTAAAAAATGTTCTATACAAATTTACTTCATTTTAATGATGAAAGTTCAGCATATGATACTTGGGGACAATATCTAATATTCCCAGTTCCTTGGACTATATATAAAATTAAAAAATGGAACTGCCTTAATTATGCTTCTGTATTGTAAGGACCCTTTTATTTCTTTATTAGACTCTATGTTCTCTGGGTCTGCCAAATGCAGAATCTTTTATAAATGTTAGCTGAATGAAAGGTGACTCAAAATTGCAACTTTCTGAATTGATCATTAAGAGGAATTCTGAGCACTGTATTTTTGCAGTCTTCTGGAGAAATCTAACAAAAAAGTCTAAATTATTTTATCAACCATGCCATGACTTTTTTCATTAAATATTTTTTATTATTGAATTAAGGGATTATTTAATGTCTCTCTGTAAAACACAACTATATTTTATGTGTAAAAAACAGTGTAACTTAAAAAAATCGGATTAAACTGATGGGGAAATTGGACTGAAGATGAGCATGATCATATTAATACTTTTATCATGCTCATTTATTTTAGCCTAAACAACGAACATCTATTGTGTCTTCTTTGGATTTTCATCGAATGAATCACAACCAAGAATATTTTGAAATCAACACATCTACAGGGTATACAAGCTTTACTTCCAACCCTCCAGTTAGTCCACTCACCTCTTCTGCAGCAACCACAGAAGTCAAGAACACGGAAACTGGCGACACAGGTAAAGCCGTTCATTTTGTGCAGCTATATTTTTGAGTTTTTAAAACCAAAGCCTTTATGAGTTAGAGGAATTAAGAGGAATCTTCATTGTGTTTTTTGTTCATGACTTTATGCCAAGACTTTAAAGGCACCATCTAAAATGTGTGGAATAAAGTAATCATCAGCACATTTTCAGGTCTGATGTTTAAACAGAACCAAAATCTAACCTTTTAAAACTAGAAGTGGTTTTGAATAGCATGTTGTTATGGTTTCCAAATGTTTTATGTCACCTACATGTCACATCAAAAATCTTAGAATAGACTGATATTTAGTACTAATGTGGAAGGACAATGCTGATTTGTTTTATATTGAAAGGTAAAATTTTGAATTTCACAAAGTAAAATGTTAAAGATAGGCCTTTATCTACTTTGAAAAATAGCATTTTGTTATCTTACACATAGGTGGTTTTGTTATATGTTATATTTAAGAACCTGCATATAAAGGCATTAGCACATGGTATATAATGCAGTAGAACAACTTTCAGAGTCAGTTCTGTCACTGATTTGCTGGATACTTTCCATCAAATTACTTAACTTCTCTGATCTTTGATTTGCTCCTCTGGAAAGGGAAGATAATATCTACTCTTTGGATAGTTTTAATAAATGAGCTGATTTATGTGAAGCATTTTGGAAACTATGAAACAATATTTTTATTTAGTACTATCATTATTGTTTAATATTATTTTTTATTCTTAAATACTATTATTGTATGAAATCTATAGTAATTTTAAGAAAAGAAGAGCCAACTATACATCTGTACTCATGCTGAGATGGCTGACCTTTTCTTGACTTAAAAGCATAATCTAAATTAATGGATAAATTTACTGTTTATTTTATAAATGATTGCGTTCACAAAAAAATTAATCAGTATAGAAATGTCAAGTGTTAATAGAACAAATACTAATACATAACAACCTCACAAACAAATTGCCTGCTGCAAAGCACTTTTAATAAGTGGACCAATTAATTTATTATTATATAAAAGAGAGCCATTTCAAAAGTAGCCTGAACTATAGTTACAACTTCCTACTTGTTAGGCAGTATATTATGTAATCTAAATATCAACTTAAGAATCATTAGGAAAAGGTGGTAAAGAGGGTCTACCTTTGGAGGTAGACAGACTTGGATGATATGAATGGGTTAGCATTTAACTAGAAAGATCAGTTCAGTTCAGTCCCTCAGTCATGTCTTACTCTTTGTGACCCCATGGACTGCAGCACGCCAGGCTTCCGTGTCCATCAACACCGGGAGCTTGCTCAGACTCATGTCAATCGAGTCGGTGATGCCATCCAACCATCTCACCACAGTATTAATGTGTAGAAAGATCACCAAAATGTTAATATATAGCAAATAGATTCAAGATGAGGTGAGATTGGAGGCAGGAAGCAACAGTGCCATCAGCAGTGGAAAATATAAATGGATATAAGAAACACAAGGAAAGAGTAATCAACAGGTCATGGCAACTGATCAGAGGTGTGATGGCGAGGAAGAAAAGTTCAAGAAAAGCCCTAAAATTTCTTGCTTAAGCAGATTAGTCAAATCTGACTGCCATTCTTTGAAATATGGAATTTTTTAGGTAAGAAGGAAGAGAGGGATGGGTCATGTAGGACCTAATATATGTCATTTTAAAAACTTTGGATTTCACTCAGAATGAAATTGGGAGTCAGTTCAGGTCCTTCAGGAGAGTAACATGATGTAACTTCTATTTTATAAGAATTGCATCAACTCTTGTGTTGAGAATGGACTGGAGAAGGAGGATAAGTGTGGAAGCAAGGCCAGTAGGGGGCTATTGTAGCATTCCAGTAAGATGAGAGAAGTCAGCTCAGGTCAACGGCGAAGCAGTGGAGCTGGAGAGAAATTGATGGATGTTGGACATATTTTTTAAGGTAAATCCTGTAGGATTTTTTGATAGAGTAGATGTAGTATATGAAAAAAAAAAGAGAAGAATTAAGGAAAAGTGCAATATTTTTGTCCTAGACAATTGTAAGCATGATTCTTAATGTCATCTGACATGAGAGAAGTCCTGGGAAGAACAGATTTGGTGAACAGGGAAAAATATCAAGAGTTCACTTTTTTAAATTTGAAGTGTAGTTGATTTACAGTGTTGTGTTAATTTCTGCTGTGTAGCAAAGTGATTCAGTTATGCATGTATGCACATTTAAAAAATATATTTTTTCTATTATGATTTATCATAGGATATTGAATATAGTTCTCTAGGTATACTGTAGGACCTTGCTGTTTATCTATTCTATTTATGAGAGTGTATGTCTACTAACCTTAACCTCTTACTCCATCCCTTTCCCAAATCCTTCCCCCTTGGCAAACACAAGACTGTTCTCTAAATCCATGACTCTGTCTCTGTTTCAGTAGATAGGTTCATTTGTGTCATATTTTAGATTCCACATATAAATTTTATCATATGATAATTTTCTTTCTCTTTCTTATTTACTTCACTTAGTATATAATCTCCAGTTTCACCCTTGTTGCTGCAAATGTCATTATTTCATTATTTTTATGGCTAAATAGTATTCTGTTGTATATATGCACCACATCTTCATCTGTTCATCTGTTGATGGACATTTAGGTTGTTTACATGTTTTGACTATTGTGAATAGTGTTCTATGAACATAGGGTTGCATGTATATTTTAAAATTAGAGTTTTCTCTGGATATATGCCCAGGAGTGGGATTGCTAGATCATATGATAGCTCTAGTTTTAGCTTTCTGAGAAACCTCCATACTGTTCTCCATAGTGTCCATATAAGCTTGCATTCCCACCAACAGTGTAGGAGGTTCCCTTTTCTACCAGGAGTTCATTTTAAGTAATATCTACCTATTAGATATCTGAATAGATGTGTTGTGTGGGCAGCTGAATGTTCACATTCTTTGTCTTTGAAGACAAAGAATGTGGACATCATCGTTGTATACATGATATGGAGTGAATGTATATAGAAGATCAAAACCTGAGCTTGATGAAAGAGATGATAAAAGGCAACAACAGCTAAGGAGTCTGAGGAGGAACAAGGTAGGAAGAAATCTTCTGGAGAGTGTTGGAGAAAATGAAAGGGACCAAAGGTGTGACTCAAGGATGTTTGGCTCTCTTGACCTTTGGAAGGATGAAGTTGGTATTCTTATGACGAAAGCTTAGTTGTGGATAAGAAACACTACTGGATATCCAAGTAGGTAAGCTGAGTACATAGTTAAGACTGATTTTTCAGTACGGTAGGACACAGAGAGAGAAACCTATGAGATAATTTTATGTTTATTGAAAGTAAAGAGTATTGGTCAAAAAACATTGACAGTGTCTTAGCCCACAGTGAATGACCTATGAGTGCCGAGTTCCTCAGTGAAATTGTCAGGGACAGGTGTGTTGTATATTATTGGGGGAAAAGAAACTGACACTCACCAGTAAATAAAACATACTTTCTCTTTATGAGAAGCTATTTCCAGAAAGCTCTGCATATATGAAAATGTTCTGTGAGCTGGCACCTTTGAGTCCCTGCTAAAGACGGTACCTACCCTGGGTAGCTAACTATCTCCAGCTCTGTTAGTAGTTTCAAACTATCACCTCTTGCTAGATAAAACTGATGGGAGGGAGCAAATCTAAAAAGAGTAAAGTGGAAAAGTGTTCCTTTCCAAATGGGAGAAATAACAAAAACAAAAGCTTTTAAGTACATAGCAGCATAGGATGCTTTTCTGCAAAGGAGAAGAAACGTTTGAGGAGAGCTAAAATTAGAATGAAGAAGGTGGTGTGGACCTTTCGTGCTGCTCAGGGATTGCCAGAGAGGCAAACAAAACCCTTCCTTTTAATTAGCTCACACTGACTGGAAATAGAGCCCCTAAACCTGAGTGAAGGTTACTCCAGCAGCCGCTGGACACAGCAGCTGGGGAAATCTCCGGACTCCAGCCAGCATGAAGGCCAGAACTGGGCTGCTAGATGGTCTTTGAGCTCCAAGCTGAGTTCAGGATGGGCTGATATGGGGGAAGGATTAAGGGTTCGTGAGAAAAACGGGCAATTACATCTTCAAGGCTTATTGTCTTAGAACGTGCATTATACAAATTTATCTGAATTATTGCTTGTTAAATTCAGTGCTTTAAGTAGACCAGGATTTTAGGTAGCCAAAATAAAAAACATTTTTATATCAAATGTCAATATGTTTAATAATAAAATATATTCTTAGCTCTTGATCATTCATGAAGTGCCTCTCCTACGCTTTCATTCTCCTGGTTCCCGTCTAGGATCACGTGGCTTTTCTCCATGCCTTTCTGTGCACATTGCACATCACACAGAGGCAGAGGGAGGTTAGTAGATGCTTGACAAAGAAATAAAATATTGACTTTTACAATATTAAAAAATATGAAAATATATAGTTAGCTGTTGGAGTAATGTGGTTTAGTGCATGCAATCAGGTGAGAATTTGTTATTCTAGGTGAAAATAGTTGAGACTAGTGGTTTATTTGGGCAGCATAAAATAAACACATTCACTAGGTACACTGCATCATAAGAAAGTTCAGGGTGCTGGGAGAGAACCTAAGAAGGCAAATGATCTCATCTGGGGGTCTACAAAACCTTGCCATGGAAGAGTTGGGCTCTGAGAGGCAAAGAGGGCCTAACTAGGCCAAGATCATGAGGGAAGATTGCTCTTCAAAGAAGGAATAGGATATTTTAAAAAATAACTCTGTGGTAAAAAACAAAACCCAACATAATTCTATAAAGCATTAATCCTTCAATTAAATAAATAAATTTAAAATAAAAAAAAAATTTGACATGAAACTACAGGTCCCCGAGAAAGGGGAGATGTGGCAGGAGCTGAGTCTTTAGAGGGAGTAGAAGGCCAATGGTTCAGGGCCTTCCTTGTAGGCTATTTTCTGGATTTTTATTTTTAACCTAAGAGCATGAGAGACCTAAGAGCAACGAGAAGGTGTTGGTGGAGAGAAGTGATCCAATTTGCATCTTACTGTCT